TTTCTTTTTGGTGTGTGTGTGTGGGGGGGGGGTTTCTTTCAGTCAGCTTGGCTGGTTTTTTTCGGACTGGGCTGGGGTGGAACTGTCCGCGGCAAATTTGTGGTTTGAGCTGCGCGAATGTGAATACAGTACGTGCGCTTCTCATGTACCTGTTGGGTCGCCCGATCGAACGACCGAATTGCCGACTGGCCGGCCGGCGGTGGCGCGAGACTTCTTCTCCATCTATCTTTGAGAGGTCGCGAGTGGGGAAGGGGGTGAGGTCCGGGGTCGGGGTAATGGGTGTTCGCCGAAAGAGCTGCGGCTGGGGCCTAGAAGGGGCTTTGCTGACGAGTGGGTTGACGGGGCCGGCAGGGAGGGACTGCGGCGATGGCGGCCTGCGAGGAAGAGGAAGAGGAAGACGGAGGAAAGCAGCTTTGCGTATATTGAACAAATAAAAGTGCCCTTGTGCCCGCTCGAAGCCTGGGCCATTCTGTTCTCACGCTTTCTCTGTCTCTCACTCTCGCTCTCTCTCTTTCTCTCTCTCTCTCTCTCTCTCTCTCTCTCTCTCTCTCTCTCTCTCTCTCTCTCTCTCTCTCTCTCTTTCTCTCTCTTTCCCTCTCTCTCTCTCTCGAAAGTAGGCCGGGGGCGGGGGGGGGGGAGAGCCATTCGCATGGCACTTGCAGAAACATTGACGAGGGCGGAGAGAGAGAGAGGCTCCAGCAACGGTGAAACGCTCTTGGGTGCTTCTTCCCCCGCCCCAACGCGTTCCGCGCCCGCTCCTCCTCTCATTCTTTTCTTCTCTCCAAGCTCCACCTCCTACATCCTTCCACTTGCAGGCCACCCGCCCCAACACCAATCCAAACGGCAACAGTCGACGAGGTCGAAGCAGCAGAAGAAGACACTCCTCCACCTTCCCCACACAAAAATGGCTGCGACTCGCCGTCCTCCCTTGTCAGCGCGGCGACGCCCGCCAAGGGTGGCCGCAACGGCTGCTGCGGCCCTCATTCTGGCGATCGCCATCGCCCTCGGAGGCGGAGGCGGAGGAGGAGGAGGGGGGAATCCTGCTGCGGGCGTCCTCGGATCGCCCGCGCCCGCGCCTGGCCCGGCAGCTGCTGCCGCCGCAGAAGCTTTCGTCGCAGCAGCCGCGAGCGCTGGCAGACCGGCGTCGCCGGCATCGAGTCCAGGGGCGAACGATCTTGTGGCGAAGTGGAAGGCCCTGAAAGGTTACTACTGATCAACTCATCCGTCTCCAGTCCCCCCCCCCCCCCCCCCCCCCCCCAGCCCCTTTCCCCAAGTCAGCATCAGCATGGATCTTGTGAAGCAAAAGGAACACGCGGGCATCCAGGCTAAACCAGCAAGAACGCGATCAATGGCTTAACGATATTCTTTCCTGACTCAACCCAGCCGCCGACTTCTACGTCCCTACAATCCCTGGTTTGGACGCTAAAGAGGCTCTTCAGTTAAACATGCATGCTGGGTAGGCAAGTCATTTTCGGCTGACGGCGCTTTGGATGGCGATCAACGAATTCCAACCAACCCCGCAATTTTAGGCTGATCCCTGTTGACCTGGCCATGAACGCTTCAACCTTTTTCTGGACGATCGAAGCTCGCGTCCCTCAGCCGCGGCGGAAGTTGGTAAGGAGGAGACGGGACACCCCGTTAAGCCCCAGTTCCGTTTCAGAGCTAAAGCAACTTCACTCGAACTTCGCTCCAGCTCTTTTGGTTCAATGGTGGCCCAGGATGCTCTTCCATGGACGGGGTCTTTTTGGAGAATGGACCTTTCCACGTTACGCCAGAATCCAAAGTCGTCATGAAGAAATTCTCATGGATCCAAGCCGCTACTGTTGTGTTTGTTGACCAACCCCTCGGAACCGGTTACTCCACGTACGATCAGACGCCTGGAACTTTTGGCGCACCAGCCAAGACTCTGGAACAGGTCACTTCGTATCTGCGAACGTTTATGAATGGCTTTTACACCGTGTTTCCTCACTTGTTGAATTCGGACGTACGTGGTGGCTTTACAGTTACTCGTGCTTACGGCATTTTCCAATTATTGCATTCATTTGCCAGGTGTACTTTGGCGGAGAGAGTTATGCTGGAGTTTACATTCCGTACTTTGCCACAAGCATCACAAGTAGCGGCAGCAACTGGCCTCCGATGTCAATGAAGGGCTTAATCATCGGGAACGGCTGGATGGACCCGCTGCACCAGGTGACGAAGCATTCAACTGCAGTAACCGAAAGAAAGAAGATCTAACTAGAGGATGTTAAAGTATCCGGCGTTCATAGAGTACGGCCAAGACAACAATCTTATTGGTGGTACCTACCTGGTGCGCTGGACTCTAAACTTGTGCTACGCGCTTATCTCACATCTGCGCCACTTCAGGAATCAGCCAAAGCGAGCTGGGTTGCGTGCGAGGAAGCGTACAAAGCCTTGAACACGGTCCCCATTAAGTTGAACGTCTGCGAAAAAATTTTGGAGACCATCCTCCAGTACTCCACAAAAGAGTAGGCCCATTTGAACAAGTTTGGCTTTCATTGTGACGAGTTCTCCCTAACCATTCCTCTATTCTCTCTGTTCTTTTGCTCCGATGGAACGCGCAGCGGAGGGACGTGCATCAATATGTACGACATTCGCGTGTACGACGACACCGTGGAAGGCGGATGCGGGCTATTTGAGTGGCCGACGGGTCTTCAGGACATGAAAAAGTACCTGGGCCGTGCGGACTTGAAGACGGCTGTGCACGTTCCAAACAACGGCGTAGACATGACCTGGACCGAGTGTTCCCCGGTGGTTGGAGCGGCACTCTCTAGTGATAAGAGTGAGGCGCCATACAAGGTTTGTTGTTCCGCTGCAAGATGAGGGGGATCGGGGCTGGGCTTAATTTTTCTATACTTTTCTGTCTACACATCCTTTTCAGCTTCTCCCTGCTCTTCTGGAAAAGATCCCGGTTTTGCTGTTCCAGTGGGTACCCGTTTTCTAGCAGACGGCAGTCAGTTTATGTTCTAACAAGCCAACGAAGAGGTGACAAAGACCTGATTTGCAACTGGTACGGCTTGCGGGACATGGTGGACAATCTGACGTGGAACGGCGCCAAAGGGTTTGGAGTGAGTCTTTCATTCGCTTTCCCGTCCTGAGCTGTGCTCAGCTCGAAGGAGAGCTTCCTCTTTGGCTCATACTTTCCTTAAATCCACTCTTTAGGATGCCAAAAAGGAAAAGTGGATTTTGAATGGCACCGAGGCTGGATGGTACAAGAGCGCAAGAGGCTTAACGTTCGGTCTCATATACAACGCGTCTCACATGGCGCCGTTCGGCTCTCCATTGGAGACGATGGACATGTTCAACCGCTTTATCGGGGCCAAGTATCTAGCTGACGACATGATTGTCGGGACTGTGGTACGTGTGTGAGTGACTGTTCCCGGAATCATTTCGTCTTACGAACGAAAAAAAAAAAAAACAAAAAAAAAAAAAACGGTAACAACAGGTCGGCGAGGCGAAGAAACCATCCCCGTCACCCTCAGTGGTACCTGTGGGCGATAAGGGTACGGCACCGGACGGGCTGCCACCAGAACCGTCGGCAGCAGCGCCGGAACCAGAAGCACACGCACCCGGGCCGAAGAAGTTCAACTTCGTGTAAGAAATCCAAGTTACAAATGAATTAGCGGGGGCGGCCGATATTGACTTTTTTTTCTTTTGATTCCTTCTAACTTCGCACTTTTGACCCTTCAGCGGCGGCGTTCTCTTCCTCCTGATTGTCGTGTTCGGGTCCATGATTGGGTACAGCTACGTGCGGTCGCGACTAGACGGCCGGCCTGTCACCAGCGGGAACGTATGGGACGTGTTTTCGTCGACGTGGGGCTTCAAGCGGGTCCCGACCGAGTCGGGGGTCCCTGGGCCGTCGGCTGCGACCAGGGCGGAATGGTTTGTTTTCCTATTTTTTAATTTCTTCCTTCGTTCGATTATGCGCTGCGCAGAGAAATTGGGTCACATGTTATTTTATTTCTTCCTCCATGAGTTCTCCCGTAGTCAACTTCACGCACAACACATTGCACACTCACGATGTGACGTCTCTCTCTCTCACTCTCTCACAAACACACACATACACATACACAAACCGTATGCCACCATTGCAGGCACGAACTGCGGGCCGGGGACAATGTGATTTTCAGCGGCGAGTTTGATGAATCGGACAGGATCGACGACGCGCGGAATGTGCGCATACGCATTTGAACGAGTGCGCGGGAGCTGGGAGGCGACTCTTTTTTTTTTTTTTTTTTTTTTTTTTTTAAGGTTTCCAGCGTCTTTGCTTTCGGTTTTTTTTCTGTGCCCCAACAATAAACTGACTCAACAAAGACAAGAGCGCGGCGACGCTTTGAGTTTTGAGCGCTCAAGATTTTGGAATTCAGGTGCTTCGAGAGTCTCGGTCAGGAGGCAGAGACTATGAGCGTGTGGAGCCCGTTAGCGTTCGCCAAATGGTGTTATGAAACCAACGTGTGGGTGAGAACATAGGCGTTTAGAAGTAATCGCCTACTGGGAGAACAAAATCACCAAACGCCTAGGGCAAAAAGCAGACGTGCCGGCAACCTGGAACTGCCGGTGCATCGGGTGGCCGAGGAGGTCCGACGACCTGCCTGGAGTGTGTGCGAGTGAAGCGTAACAGGCCGGGAACGATTTGAAGTAGAGGTAAAAGGAAAAGACGAAATACAGTACACGACACGATGACCTGGCGGCGCTTGTCGAGGGAGCGGACCCCAAGTACGATGTGGTAGCAGGCGTCGGGGGCGGCTGCGAGGCGGGCGGCCGTTTCGAAGCCGAAGCCGCTTTCGCGCCGGTAATGAAGACGACTGTCGTCGCAGAGGTCGTCGTTGTCCCGCTTGCCAGCATCGTGCCCGGCTGGCGCAGAACGGAAAAGAAGTTGGACGTTGGCTGACACGAGGCGCTTCACCTTTGATGTGTTTTGGCCCATCAAACAGAACCACAACTGCCGAAAAGAAAAGAAAAAAAAAACAGGTAATTTGCCTCGCCCGTACGACGAGTTGAACGCCGATCTTCACCGAGATTTCATTTGGTTGAGTGGTGATGTCCTAGCCATTGGACGACAGGGGCTTGGGAACAATCATGCTTTTATTTAAACAGGTAAAAAACTTTGCCCACCGCGGATTGCCGAAAGAAAAAAAAATCGAAGAGCTTTGCTAGCCTTTTTTCTCGTCGAGGAGTGAAAAATGTCTTGGATATATTAATGTACGGGGCACCCACAATCAATCGCAATAAGCCATCTCTATCTCAAATGCAATTCATTTGATCCGTATAAACGCTTCCCGCCGACCACCACCTTTTCACTCGCTCGTTTCGAAAACAGAGGAACTCCCAGCTCTCGAACGAGAGCAGCCAGCTACCCGAGGAACTTCAAATTCATTTCAATGAAGCAGCGCCCATTTTTCCGTAACGCGAGATAGCGCCCGACCTGGCATCACCGCGCTCTCTCCACCACTCCAGCGCATCCAGAACATCTTCTCGCTTAGCCCAGGCGGAAGGACGTCACCGCGTTCGTCAATTTGCAATATCCTTGGAGGTGCAGATGTCGCAGCCTGGGCTTGTCCACGTTTCGCTCAACCATTGCATCGCCTTGCGTCGCAGGCGGTGCAGGCCGACGAAAGAATCGGGTTTCTTGACATCATTCGTTAGCTCCAGTTGATTTTGCTTGAGCCTCGCGATGGCGCTGTTGCTCATCGCCGCGTCGCTGATATCACGCTCCGGCGCTTCAACCAATCTAAAACCGCGGCCTGGCCGCTGGCGACTGCATGGTTGACTGTTTCGTTTAAGTCAAAGGGCAAAGTCGGAGTCGCTCCATCCTCCGTCGCGCCCGTCGCCGCCTCCGCCACCGAACCCGCAGCCGGCATACACGGGCGTAGCCACGTCAGTTGCATTGTCTTGTCCGAAAGTTGAGCTCGCTGATCCGTTGCAACGTGAAATTCGCCCAGCCGTTGCCGTTGCGCGTCTCCGCAAGCTTACGCTCGAGCCAGAGCCGCGCGTCCATCCGATTGAATTGAGCGGCCAGTTGGAGCACCAGAGGAACGACGTGCGGGCACCAGCCCTGCTTCTCTCTGCACCACTTCAGGACGTCGACGCCGCCGCCCTTGAGCGCCTCAAAGGCGAGCCGACGGATTCGGTCCTCCCCGACTGTACACGTGAGCAGCGCTTCACGCCTCGCCGCCCACCAGTCAAGCACTGCACCATGGTTGTTGTGCGCAGCGAATTGGAGGCGCTGACTGATAGGGCCGCTGGTGCCGTTGGCACTGTAAATATCCGTGCGCTCCCACCATTCGACACGCACGGCCGGGAAGGAGGGACACCGTTACCATATTGGGGATGTCTTTCCGGAGGTGGCAGCGCAGTGCTTCAGCCAGCCCTGAGTGATCAGCTTTTCTCGACCACAGTATGAAGTGGGCAGGGGAAAAGTCTTCCATGCAGTGTCAAAACAGAGTTCGCGGTCCCATCCCCACACCAGCAAAAATGGGCGCACAAGCCATCAGATTTGTGCTGATGAAGCCGAAGGTGTGAGTCCTCCAACGATGGCCAATAGACCTCCACAATTGCTGATTCCATCTTTGCCGTCAGTCTTCGGCGATGTTGTCTTTGTCTTCAGCAATGTGCACCGATGGATCAGCGAAGACAGTTGGTGCCTTCGCTGATGGATCGTCGAAGAAAGTAGATTGCTTCAGGAATTCGCCCGGAAACAATCAGAAATTTATTTTGTACCCTATTCCATATGCCCCTGCCCTGAACATGATTGAAGTTGGAGATAATTCATTGCACAGGAATCATTGAAGGGCAGTGATTGAAAGAAGGGGTTGACAAAGAATGGGTGGGAGAAGAGAATGATATAAACTGATGATTGGGATCTTTGTGCAGGCACATGAAGAGAAGGACGGACTAAGACTTGGACTTGGAATGAGAGGAGGGAGGCCACAGATAAAATAATATTGTGATCAGTTAGTTAGAAAGTTTGATTATGCAAAGCTAATAAAGAAACGCTTCCTGGATAAAAGAATGAAGTATAGATGGTTATCAAAGATGGAATCTGACATATCGGCACATCTGGAATAGAGAAGAGCTTTACAGTTTGCATCGCCACAGTTTGCATCGCCTTGTAAGGACACTTAGACAGAATTTTAGCAGTCGTTGAAGCAGGAAAAAGAGACTCACCAGTAATAGTTAGTCAAGGCCCTTTTCTTCCAATTCCCATTGGTTGATCAGGTTTGCTAGCTCCGGTGAATTGCCCTCTTTGATGGGTTTTGATACGCCACCACGGCCTTCAGCACAAATCACAAACAGAGGACAGTAGTGATCCTTCAGTGTGGAAAAAAATTTTGTCCAGCAGAGGTGTTTGTTCAGAAGGATTCCTAAAACTTTTGTGTAGGCTTTGCTGCACTAGGAAAAACAGTTAGCACACTGTTTGTGACCGTAGGAGGAACAGTGGTGACACTTACTCCCTGGCTGGAGTGTCCATAAGTTATAGCAGCTGAGTTGCGAGAAAATAAGAGCGTACACAGAGGCAAGCGTGACTGTTTCAGGTCAGGTTTCCACCTCCATAAACCCGGGAGGCGTCACAGTTGGGTTGGTCGAATGTCATCATCCTTGAGGTCCTCCTGCTGGCCCTTTCCCTTCACCTTCGCTGGCGTCTCTGTTGCAGTGTGTCCCACTCCTCCCTGGCATTCCTTTTTTCCCCTGTTGACTTGTCACATCACAAGAAATTGCAGGAAAATGCTAAGTCGCTCCCAGCTGTTCCTTTCAAGACGAGGCAGCAGTGGCAACATGGGCGAAGGATTGAGTAACCAGGAAGAAGGCAGAAGCATTGAGGAAAATAGACAACGTCTTCACTTTAGCCCAGATGTTGGCAGAACGCAGACGATGACAGTAAGGAATGGATTTCAAGATAACTACGACTTGGAAGAACTATCTAACTTGGGCAACACAGAATACTTTGAGTCGCAAGAAGAAGATGATAGTTTCACGACTCTTCTGTCCCAGTTGTATCCACCTTTCCACCCTATTCAATCTCAGTTAGAAGTTCAGCTTGCGAGTTTCTGCATGCCACACCTATCTCCCAGGCAGACTAAGGATTTACTTGAAATTACTCATAATCTAGGAACGGACAAAATAACATTCAAAACTAAGCCTCAGAAACAACAAAGCTGGATTCCCTTCTGACAAATATGCCTATTAGAATATTTGAGATGGACGTTTGGGTATACCCCGAGCAAGTGCAAAATTGGTTGGAGAGGAAGGATGTCAAGCTCCAAATGTTCCACTGCGATATTGTTGATTGTGCGGTGACCCTCTGGGCCAAAGTTGATAAAGAACCAGTCTTTCATTTGCGCCAGACAAGCCCCTTCCGAAGATTACCAATACTACTGCAAAGCAATGGCGGAACATCTCTTGAGTTTTGGTTCTCCACTTGTTGAGTCTGTTTGCTCCAGTGTTGAGCAACATGTTATTGACACATTTCGCCATTACTCTGATTTCTGCACGGCATTTGACATCCTGTACCAGACCGAGGGAATCCTATCAGACTTTAGGCAGAGCATCGAAACCTTTGAAAGTCCATTGATGTTTTCAGGACTTGTCACCTTCCGACTTCCGGTTCACAAGTACTCTTTGTTCAATGGTAGGAGAAGAAAAACTTTGGGAGTAATGTGACAGGGATGGATGAAGTCACGCCAAAGTCTTTCCAGCTCATCAGCACAGACAGCATCGTCAGATCTATTCCTCTTCAGCCCAACCCCCTTGATAGTTCTGGTTTTTTTGTGGACAAGTACGTCGATGCCGGTGTGTACCAACTACTTCAAAATAAATTTGTATGAGCAAGCGGTGACAGAGATCCAACTTCAAAAAGTCGACGCCTCTCCGCCTTTTGTGTGGCGTCGGGAAGAGGCCTGACGAAGATCAGTTGCTGCTGTGAAAAGATTGAACACAGCAAAGAGATCAAGAAAGTCTCTGCCTTTGGGCGGGAGCAGGAAGAGGCGGGGGAGGATCGGACACAATTGTGAAAACAGTAAACAGAGCAAAGAGATCATGAAGAGTATGGAGATCGCTCTGTCAACCCTTGATACCGCGCAGACAATTGGATGTTGGTGGGGGAGGGGTGGGCACAGGATCTTCATGTTTCGGAGGAGAGGCAGGGAGAGGATCAGATGTAAACTGTGAGAGATGGCAGATCAAGAAAGGTGAAGAGGCGTCCCCCTTTTTGGGGAACCCTCCGAGTCATGCACTAAGAAGAACCCCACACCTCACCGCCACCTTCCCCCCAGGGTTGCAGAGTTCAAGTTGCATTGCCGGAAACAAGAAGGTGAGATAGGCCTCCTTGGAGACGACAGAACTGAGTCCAGGCGCCTCAGATCGTGTCAGATACGGTCCATCCAGCTGAGGCTGTCCTGACTGCAGTTGCCTGCACGAAAAGAACCTTCCCGATCTTGCCACACAGGCGCGAGAGTGGCCCTGCAGCACCCCTGGGCCATTGAACTGCGTGACGGATTGCACCCCGCCTAGTGGCACGAGCAAGGCCCAAACAATGCAATCCATTTGACACCCACCTTTTATAAGAACCACAATCTCTCAAATAGGCTTCCTGCACAGAGTTTCAAGTTGGATCAAAAAGTCAGTCCCATCGAAAGCTTGCTCCTCCATCACTCAATATTAGCTTTTTGCCCCCCCAGCCTAAAGCTTCCTGCGAATCTGAAAGCTTCAAGAGAGAGCTTACTTGTCCCAATCCCAGAAACCTACCCTCCCCCCACCCCCCAAAAAAAATCGACTTCAAGAACTAGTACGATCAAAGCTGTGACTGACTCAGAGCATCACAATCTCAGCGGGCATGCCACCAGGAAAAGCAAAGGCAATGTTTTTTATACCCAACACTCCAAAGGAGTGGAGAGAAGGAGCCTGAGGTATGCAGATACGACATTTGCAGAGAGCTTGTTTGATGGCGTCTAACCTCCATCCATTCCAAACACAGTATCCAAACTTCGGCAAGCCAACAACAAGAAGACCACAGACACCATTGCTGGAGCCGTCGCAGCCAAATCTGCAGTTGCCGCTGCCAAAAAAGCTGCTGCGAAGGCGGCTTTTGCATCAATTGTCACATCCCTGATATGACCACCTGCTTGCCATTTGCCAAATATGACAGTTTTCCTGGCTAAAATATCGAAGAGACTCTCTGAGGCTGCAGGTGTGCAGGTGTGTAGGAAAAATGTTGATTCAGCGGTACAATCCGCTTCTAACACCTCTTCCTGAAATAACCAGACGATAGCGTGAAGGGGTTCACAAACAAGCTTCCTTTGAAAAAAAACGAAATTGCCAGTCTTGCACCACAACAGAGAGGCAACGGGGTTTCTGAAAGTGTTAACAACCAAAAAATATTGAACTGAGTTTGAGGTTATTTCACCCACCTCCAGCCAGACCACCAACTACTCTCACCCAGACATTGGTAAAGAGTCAACAGGGCTACTCTGACGCCAGCTTGGCCAACAAGGAGGAGCACTAGTCTCAATCAGAGCACATCTTTATGGTACTACTCGCTCACAAGTTACTGTTCTGTGGTGATTAACAAACTAACATGTTTTTACCTCCTATACCTCCTGTGTGGCCGCATAGTGTAGGGGTTATCACATCAGATTCTGATTCTGGGGACCCTGGGTCGAATCCGGGTGCGGCCTAAGTGGAGGGACAGGTTGGAGTTGGTTGCGTGTCAAGTTCTATGCTCCTCATTAGCAGCTTCTTGCAGTTGTTTCCTTTACTCCACCGTTGCAAAGTAAATTTCTTTCTGGTAGGTGGGGTGTTCACACCTCTCACAACGAAATTTTTCAGAATCGTTTTTCTCGATGAACTTCAAGGTTACCGTCGTGACCAAACTAACTGTTGATGCGCTCTAAAGCTCTCAACTGCCAACTCTTTCCTTGCAGCTGTCTGAGTGCAGTTGTTTTGCTGAACGGTAAGAAAATCCATTTTGAAGTTTTGGTTTTGAGAGGTTTGAACACCCCCATTTCATTTCACGTTCACAATCAAAGAGTGGTGGAGTTGCGCGGAGTTGCAACAGAGCAGCTTAAAAGCAGAGTGGAGTTGCAAAGTTGCAGAGTTGCGGAGCTGTGGAGTTGCGGCAGAGTAGCAGAGCTGCCAAGTTGTGGCGTGGCGTAGAAGCAGAGAAGGAGAGTCACAGAGTCGGGTGGTTGCAGAGTTGTGGTGGGTGCAGTGGAGTTGCAGAATAGCAGAGTGAATCAGAGTGGCAGACAAGCAATGCAAAGCAGAGTTGCAGAGTTCCTGAGTCACAGAGCTGCAGAGTCACAGAGCTGTACAGTAATGGAGGTGCAAAGTAACGGGGCTGCAGAGTTAGAGAGTTGCCGAGTTGCGGCGGAGTCGCGTGGTCGCAAAGTTGCGGAGTGGCAGGGCAGAGTTGTGGACTTGCAACTAATGTCTGGGGAAGGCTGAAGTCCTGCTGATTATTTGGAATCAGATTGAACTGGGGCTGAATTTGAGTTGCAGAGTTGCAGAGTCGTGGAGTTGTACAGTTGCTGAATTGATGAGTTGCAGAGTCCCAGAGAAGCAGATCACAATGTCTTGGAGTTGTGAAGTCAGAGACTGACGGAGTCGTGGAGCCACAGAGATGAAGAGTTGCAGAGTTGCAGAGATGCAGAGTTGCAGAGCCGCAGAGTTGCAGGAGTTGCGGTGTCGCAGGAAAAACGCATTTGACATCGAATTTCGGTACGAATTTCGGTATGTGGGACAACGCAGGATCGAAAAGCGCCTCTGGTGCACTGGGGTACAAGGCCAAAGCCAAGTTAGACCAGAGACAGAACTGACTAAAATGGTAGAACTGACTAAATCGGTAAGGGGAGTTGGCAAGCCACTACACCGATAAAAGGAAACAACAAAGGAAAGAAACAACAAGTCAAACCTGAGTTAGAGGGGGTTGGAGAGACAAAGGGCAGACACAAGGAACAGTTAGTGTGCAGAGATGCTCTATTGAACCAAATCAGAACTGTTTTCCATTTAACAGAACCAGACACAACTTGTCTCACTCCAAGGACAGTGTCCCAACTCAATCCAAGGAAGAGGGTGCAACCAAGGTGGGAGACAGTGGGACTCTTCTTGCTTCAGCCTACCAGGAGACAGACCTCTGCCTCGCCAGGGCAGGCAGAATAACCTGTCTTAGAAAGAAGTCAATACTCACTCCCACACACAAGGAAGGCACCAACAACAACCACAGGTATTAGCATAGAAGGAAGAGGGTCTGAACCCAGCAAACTGGGCCCACCAAAGGTCAAAGGAACCATCACCAGGGACAGGGAGGAATACCAGAGAGACCATACCACCACATAATACGTGACCAGCCAACTCATTCACATCACCTTGAGAGACCTGGATTTGAAGCAATGTATTGACAGGAACCGATGAGGCACTCCCACTTTCCATCATCAAGTGGCTCCTACCTCAGACCAACCTAAACAGCATTCAGAATGGTGAGGTGCACCAGGGCTTGAACCCAGCACACTGCCATAAATGGCCAAGAGAACCAATTCTCCCGTCACACCAGGGGACTGCAACCCCCATATCATGCACAGAGCCAGAGAGGAAATGGCAGACAAGAAGACTCAGGTACAGGTTCCGAGGTGCAACAAGAATGGGGGGTAGGCTGCTTAAATAGGAGAGGGTTGGAATCAGCAGGGTGAAGGAAGAGGGAGGAGAAAAGTTTAGGAAACACGTACACAACAACAAAGAAGAGAAAGGAGGAGCGAGTCACCAAGCAATGAGGCTGAGCCAGAGGACAGCTCAGAAAATCATTTGGCATTTCTTGGCATTCAGCTGCCAAGTATGGCGGAGGAGCTGGGAAGGGCTGATTGGTGCAAAGAGGAAGACAGTCACTCACAGCCACAAAGAAAAGCGAGACACACAGAGACAACAAACAAATAAAGAAATAAAAGATAAAACAGTAAAAACATTAAAAACAGGATAAACTACTAATTGAAATATGTGTAAAAATTATCAATGAAGAAAGGGGAAAAAACCCCTATGATCTCATACCCTTTCATGAGGCCTTTCATCATGGTAGCTTATGCAGCAGCTCTGTGTTAGCTCTGTGTACACCTGGACTCTGTACTTCTACCCACTGAAGCACAACATCCTAATCCAGTCTCAAAGGTGAGGAGGGCAAGGCTGGTCTTTGTGGAGAACTTAGAATTTCTGCATCATTCACTCAATTGACAACCAGCAGTTCTCAAATTTAGCACCTCTCCCATCAAAGGGAGCAGCGCGCTCTACACTACTGAGCTAGAGGGCCTTTTGCCAGTAGTGCAGAGCAGCCTAACCCATTCAGCCTGCAACTTAGTGCGTAATAATAATAATAGTAGTAATATGAATAATATACATGGTTGCAACAAAGAGACGGTCAGGCCCTGTTTCTTCTTATTAAAATGGTTATTATTGTCCCAAGCCAAACCACTGAGATATGGACTGTGTTACGTCACTTTCATGAAGCGTTGTTTGGTTGAGTCAAAGTGTTAATCCTCACAAGTTATCAGTTAAAAAAGCAGCGTATACTCTTTTAATTTAAGGTTGCAGGCTCAACAGCCTGTTGTCCTCGAAAAGGGGTCGCAATGATGCTGGTTGGAGAACGTGCCCGGCTGGCCATTGAGCTGGCCCACTAGCGAAAAAAGGGGTATGGTTTTGATAGAGCGGAGAAGGTCCATAATACATGGGGGGTGGTGGAACCAGCCGGCATGCCTGCGGCCGCTGGAAGATGGAACAGATGGAGCAGGTGAATGAGCTCGCTGGCGCGTGGTGCTCGGCTCATCATCACGATCGTCCTCGCGCTTGCTTCTCCGCCCAGGCGGCTTGGCCAGAGACTGAACAAATTGGGGGCTGTTTGGCGGACTGATGGAGTTTGTGGCGGAAATTTCGTTGAAGAGATCAACTTTACTGTCGTTAATCACTTCAATTCTGAGCTTCATGGATTTGAACTGAATAGATGTTAATGAGCAGCAAGCGAGGAGACCATACTTGTGATCGCAGCCGCCCAATCCTTCAAATCTTGGAATCGGAACAAGGAGGCAGGTTTTGATCTCCGAACCGCAGTTCTGATTGCATGCATGATCCTTTCGGAGGCGAGTGACGAAATCCGCAACGTACGAAGGAAAAAAGACTCACGGCTTGCTTCCTTTCAGACTTGACTTTTCGTGATTTTGCGTTTGCAATCTATCCCAGAGGGTTCGAGCAATATTAGCAGCAGCACTTTGTTTAGCGAGTGGACACAAACAACATTCTTTAGAATGTTGTGATCTCGATTGATATATTCGGCTCCCTCTGGTTCGCCTCGAAGATTGCCATCCATGCCGCCCTTCCAGTGAGGGCAAGAATCGAGATTCTGCTTCACTTTGAAGCGAGCACCGCACTTCTTTGAATGAGGAATGTCCAGCAAATGCGTGAATTGAGTAGCGGTTTTGATCCATCTACAGCACGCTCAAGACGGTTTCCATTGCCGACCATCCTCTCGTCTAAACGAACAGGGTCCGTCCAGGCCAAGTCTGATTGCTTCCTTCTTCATCCTGTTCCCATCCATTGCCCAAGCCTTGATTGCTGCATGCCACTGTCGGCGCTCGTACTAATACTGCCACAATTATGAAGTGGGCGCCTATAATATAGAAACGACTGTGACAATAACAATAACAACAACACCCATAACAACGTAACAACGACTATAAAAACGAAAAAATCAACAAGAACAGACAAAAAAACGAAATAAACCAATACAGAAAAAAAAAACGAAGTAACAAAAAAAAAGAAACAAGCAAGTGCTAACACTAACACTCACTCCCTCTCACGCCCTGCGCCGAACCGTCAAGCCTCCCTCGCAATGCTGCTTGCGGCTGCCACAACCACCCTCCACCCTTGTCCCGCCCGTCCGCACCACTTGCTGCTGCGGCGCCGCCGAAGCGGCCAACAGCGGCGGCGCCCACCACCACGCCCCAGCAATCACCCGCGCCGCGAGGCGCGAACCGTTGGCGAGGCCGCGTCGACGGCGGCGGATGCTGCCATCACGCCAGCGTCGTCGTCGTCGTCGTCGTCGTCGTCGTCCCCGTCCCCGTCACCCTCCCCCTCCTCCTCCTCATTTTCATCGCCCATGGGGCCGACCGCAAAGCCGCTCCCGCTGCCGCCCGCGTTCGACTCGGGCGTGTCCAACTCGATCCCGGCGGCTCGCAGCTCGGCCATCCGCTGCCGCCTCCGCACAGTGAACTGCTCTTCGCGCGCCGCCTTGCGCTGCTGCTGCAGCTTCAAGAGGGGCGTCGCCGCATTCGCAAGCTTGTTCTTTTTCACCCGGGCAAGCAGCCGCCGCGGGGAGAGCTTGACCGGGTCGCGCGGCGCCTCCATCACGACCCCCTCCAATGTTACGAGTCCGCGCCTACGCCGCCGTAACACATTCTTGTTGCCGCCTCCGATGTCAGATTTCGGCTCCGCCTCCGTAACATTCAGTGTGCGTCCGGTGGCCGTTGCAAGAGCCTTCGGTTCGTCGTTGGCGTCGCGCTGTTGAACCGTTTCCTCATCCTCCACCTGCTCGTCCTCCTCCTCCTCCTCCTCCTCCCCCTCCCTCTCCTCCTCGACTTCTCGCCCGTCTTCCACATGAAACTCATTCTCCTTTCCGTTCTTTCCGTCGTCGCCCTCTTCG